ATGGCAAAGTCGCATTTCACACCAAAGGCCTTTGCTTGTTTTGACACGAGTAGCCTGAATGATCATGACCCATTAGAACAGATCTTCAGCAAGGAAACGTATGGCAATGATCTATCATGCTTACAACTATGACCTTCAAATTGTCACCTGAACATGACAGATTCTCCAACGTGTCAGCTATCTAAGTAGAGACCTTGACTTGGAATCAGGACCTTGACTTTGCCGACTCAGGCTGCTCGGTTCTGTGGTCCCTGCTCTCACAGCATTATTAAGGACAGTGAGGCTAACAGGTGCCCCTTATCCTGGCTCACTGCATCTGCCACAGAATCTGGGATCAGCTGGAGCCAAATGCCTCAAGTCAAACTCAAGAAAAAGACTCTGAGAGGTCACAGCTGAGACTTGCATCTTTGCCTTCCAATCCCCAATCCCACCTATCTCCTCATCTTCCACACTTCATTCTGCATTCCTTCAATTCGTGGCAGGGCAATGTGGTATCTGCTGGCCTCCTTGGGTGTGCTTTTATAGCTCCATCCCCGTGATTCTCTCAGATGCCCATGGATTCCCTCTGTTCTGCAGGGTATTGAGGTGAGGGGCATGTGGCTTCTGCCTGTGGGTCAACATTTTCCAGACTGTGTGTCCTGCCAGACTATTCTCGCAGCTGCCCTGTAGGCCAAACCATGAGAGCCATCCTGGACACTGCCTCCTTGCTGGAGGTTCGTGTACACCTGGCAGGAGCTATGCTCTGCAAAGTCCTACAGAAAGATCCTTCATCAGAATGGCTTCCCACTCATGCAGGGCTTGGGACATGTCTTAGGGGGTACCCTACTGGCTAAAGGCAGGGGAGTGGGAGCTGTGATACTGCTTGGCAAAGATCTACAGGCCAGGAGGCCAACATTTCTTAAAATATAGGTCATTTCAAAATTACTGAAAATCCTTGTATTTTTCAAGTTGGGATTCTAGAATTTTACAGTGAATTCAGGACTTAGGCAAGCAATAAGGACCAAGCAGACACCAGTTTGGAACTCAACAGCACTTTAAGGAAAGAAATGTGCCTGTTGCTAGAGAACTGACTGCTTATTTCTTCTGGTTTGTGGGGTTGTGTTTTGTTTCATATCCTTTTAAAAGGTGAGGGCAGGAAATTGAAGATGCCAAATGGAGATGTACAGGTCCAAGACTGTCACCCTTGGCTCTGATGCCAAGGCAGTTATTTCAGGCCTCAGCAAAGGCCAGGACAAACCCAGAGTGTCAAGGCAACGAGGCCAGGCGGGGCTTGGGTCATCTGCGGTTTCCAAGGCCTCCATACTCACTCCTTTTCTGTCTCCTTGCCTGGAAGCTCATCTGACAGCGGGTGGGGCAGGTGCAGGACCAAGACCCACCCAATTTCCCCAGGCAGAGCACAGTGCTTGCAGCCCTTCCCTCAGCACTTGAGGCTGCACTGCTCCCAAATGTATGTCAAACACAACAACTGCCAGGGCCCAAAGCATGTGGCAATGTGAATGCAACACCCATCCAGACCTGGTTACTGGACCCCACATCCTCTATCTTGTGGTGACTCTGCAGCAAGGGCACAGAGCAGCCCCACTTCATCCCTGGGCAGACCTCATTACCTGGCATGACTATCTTCCTCAGTGTACAATCCCCAACATCTTCAGCTAGTCAATTCCTTTGTGGTAAACTGTTCATGAGAACAGCCTGCACTGTGCATGTGGGCTGCACTGCAGAAGACTCTCACCAAATAGAATACAGTTATGCACGTGGGATTCCCCAGGCTGGCAATGACTATCATTTTCCTGTGGGTGATGGGGCTATGAGGTACTGGCTGAGATAAAATGAGTTATTGGCTAAGAACCAACAACCACAATAAGAATTCGGTTTAGTAGCTCTCCTGCCCCTCTGTCCTAGTCCAGGTGGTGGTGAGGAGTCTGGTATTTAGGATAGGGTCCTAGGACTGGAGCGAAAACCCTGACTCTGTTACTGATTTAGCAGTGTGACCTTGGCCAACATCCTAAATCTTTCTGAGTCTGTGTTCTTATCTGGGAGAGGAGTGCAATATCCGGATCTCACAGATCTATGAATATTCATTGAGAGGACCAAAGCCAGCGGACTTGCAAACAGCCACCTGGGCCAGGCAGGGTTTCCAGTGCCTATAGCTTTTACCTTCTGCAATCTTCCAGGCAACAAAAGCATCCCTACTTTACAGCTAACGGGTGAGGTACCCAGGCTAAGTCACTGCCCAACTGTACAGAGCTAGCACATTTGCAAACCCTGCTGTCTGACTGGGTGAACCTTTATAACCTTAAGGTTCTTATTCCCCGAAGCATCCCCCTGACAAGGCCATAGGACTAGCTGCTCACCCACTGTTTAACTGCATGTTCACATTCAGACATGTTCCCTGCTGTGTAATTTTGAACAAGTAATGTAACTGGTCTGTCCTCAGTATCTACACCTGCAAAATGGTCACATGACTCTTTCCTCTTTCACGGAATGAATTAGAAGGAGCAGCTGGCATCTAGGATGAGCTCCTCCCAGGAAGTACTTGACTCCCAAAGCAAGACGCGCGGAGGATTCCTGAGCTCCCATGTGTGGCAAAGAAGAGTCTGTGGCTGGTTCAATCTACCTGTTCCAAGCAGCTATACTTGGTGTCTGGTAAATAAACTGTTTAAAATAGATTTAAATTTCGAGAAGAAAAAAAAAAAATGGTCCACAAGTCCTTGGGGAAAAAGAAATTAGTCTGGGCCTAAATGAAGCCAGGACCTCAATAATTAAAACAGTGATGGAAACAAATCAAAGCAATCTTCCTGGAGGTTTTCCGAGTTCTGAATCCATCCCACCCTCTGGATAAGGACCCAAGAGCATGTGGAGAATTTATAGCCTGCTAAAAATCATGATGTGATGCAGGTTAAAGCAACCGTGGCCCCAAGGCAGACTGTGGAATACCAGAACTCTAAGTGAAAAAGGCTAGCTTTTGTGAATGTGTTGGACACGAGACACAACACCACATTAAAGGGAAAGCTGGAGCACAGACAAGGCGCACTGGCTCCTGGGAGTCCTTCTGCAGTAACTGTACAGGCTTTGTATGTGGGCATCTCACACCATGGTGAAATGTGCAATATAGGGAGAAAAAAAAATGCAACATTGGTTACTAGAGCTCCCGTTCCTCCCTGTTCCACCGAGAATCAGGACAGGACCAGTGTGAGCCTCAGGAAAGGCGGAGCTCGTCATCTGTCATGCTCTTCAGCTGCTGCCCCCCACCCCCAGCAAGCCGCCCACGGCACCAGGGTCCACTCATGGAACTCATCATGCAAATCTCTCACAGATGACACTGCTGCAAAACAGCGTTGGCCATGGCTTCGGAACTGCTTCCACATTTCGTCTCCAAAGTTCTTATCTGCGGGCCGCTAAGGCTGAGCGTTCAGTACAACAGCGGAGCGCCTGGACCAGAAACCTGAACCATGCCCTCAATGCAGCAGTCGCCTCACTGTGGCATTGCTTTCCCAGGTGACAGCGCTTAGCATGTCACAACTGCCGCCAGTGTACTGCTGAGTGCTTGCCTCTCTGCTGAACAGGGGCGTGGAGACACACTCCTACACAACGTGTAGCTGCTCCTAAGAGTTCAGACCAAGTGCAGGTGTTATCAAAGACAAGCCTTCAGGAACTATCCAGAACACAAGCGAAGTTACGTTCACTAGCAGGTAGATGAAAGTTTTTTTGTAAGTCGGGACATTCTATGAGCTGTTTAAATTCACTTAGGGCTACACCGGGGCATTGCCCTGGCTTCCCCCAGGAGCTCTGGGGCCTTTATTTTCCCTCTGGTGTTCAGGGAAAGCCCCAAAGGCTGACCTTGCCATTAAAACAGGAACATCTGCTGCCCTCCTAACTCTTGTCCTCTCATACAGGGCAGCGCCTCTTAAGAAACTCCAGGCCACGGTCAGGGCTGAGTGGGGGGTGGGGAAACACCGACTCCAGTCCCCTCCCACTACAGCCCCCACGCCGCCAGACACATCAGCAGCCCACTGCCCCAAATACACCAGAGCTGGAAAGAGTCACACCGCAAAACACTCCGGACACGCCTATTCCAGTTCTCGGCTTCATTCACTTTTTTTTCTTTTGAAAGATGTAATTACTCCACTGTCAGCCTGGGCGGCACTCTGGGGCTTTTCCTCCTTTCAACACAGCTGCGCTCCCGGCTTTGATGCTGCTGTCCACGCAGCCGGTCCCAGCCACAGCCTGGCTTTCAGTAATGTAACATTCAAGTGCGTATTTATTTTTAAACTGACCTCTTCTAGACCGTACGGTATAAAAGGAGGTCCTGCCAAAAAACTATGCTACTTTCTATTTATAAGATGAAACACATGCCTCCCGAAGTCGACCGGGGTGGGGGCAGGAGGGCTGGAGTACCATCATTCTTAAACAACAAAAAAGACCGACCAGATCAATTCGTCCAGTTTCCAGAGGAGGGTGGAGGGAATCTTGTCCATGCATCCGCGTAATTAAAAAAAAAAAAAAAATTCAACGGTCAGATGCAGATGGGCAGGTTGGAGCCTAAACAGGCAGCACCTGGCCCGCAGAGCGGTGGCTGAGCTGCATCCCGCATTCGTGCGCGGCCCTTGAGCCGGCCCACCACGAGAGGGGCGCACTAGCCCCGCGTGGCTGGTGCTCGGACCCAGCAAGGCAACACGCGCTAAGAACGGTTCTGTCAATAGCCGCGAGGAGCAGCGCCGCGCCGCGGCCCCACCCTGAGAGCTGTGGGCACAAACGCCTCAGGAGCTCTGCGCCCTGCTCGGCGCGCCGCCCGACCTACCTCCCGAGGGGCCTGAAAGCCCTCCTCGGTTCCTCTGGACAGCAGCTGGGGAAGGCCAGGCCCTTGTGGGTGCCCGCCCCTCCGCCCGTGGTTTTCTGAACCCAACATCCGCGCACGCCCCGAACCCGGCACAGCCACGGGTAGGACAGACCTACAGCCAGGTAAGGCAGGAGGGGCCCTGGACTACCAACCGACTCACCGTCAACCGCCGGCCGCCTCCGGGCCGGGTGTCCCGGACCGACGCCTCTCCCGGGTGTTCGCCTTGCCCACTCGGGCGCGCAAATCCAGTCGGTGGCGCGGCGGCCGCTCACCGCATTATCCGTTCGGAGCTCGCGTAAAGGAAGTCCTGACCGACAGTCAGGTCTCGGGGTTGGTTTCCCCTCCAATCAGCCAGGGCCCTGCCGTAAAGCCCCTTGCCCGCTCGCGCCCAGGCCGGATTAGAACGAGCGAGAGTGCGAGCGAGACTGAGCAAGCGGCCGCCGGACCCGAGGACTGAACCTGCGGAGGGCGGGGCGGCGTGGGGGCGGGGCCGGGCGCGTGGGGCGGGCCGAGGCGGGGCGGAGGGCGCGGGCAGCCCCGCTGACCCAGCTCGCCTGGGTACCTGCGCCCGGGCCCAGGGTCCTGGGGCCCAGCAGTCCGCCGTGGGCGCACGCGCGCGTGGTCACTTTGCGCACGGTCGGCCGGCTCTGGGACAATGGGCGTTCATTGTTACTCCCTAGCGCCACTCCCGTGGGATGAGGCTTCCCTCGGAGGAAAGAAAAGTGGGCACAAAGCAAGAGCGTGGGACGCTCGGTTCAAAGGGAGGGATGCCGAGGTGCAGCCGTCTCAACGCGCGAGGACAATAGCACCGCGGAGGCACTGAACCGCGGGCGCCCACCTCCCTGCGTGCCAGGCAGCCCACCTTGCCGCGTGTCCCTCCAGGCGCGATGGGCGAGCGGGCGACCCACAGTGAAGGAAGACCACCTGACCGCGCCGCCCCAGCCGGGTCACCCGCAGCCAAGACTTTGAGGAAGGTGGGGGGGGGGGGAATGAAGGAGGGGAGGGTCGCTTTTTGTCAGTTTCTAGCGCGCACCGGAAGAAGCTGCCGCCAAAACCCGGAGAACGGATTTGGTGCACCCGGGGCTCGCGACCCTGCAAGTGGCGCACGAAGTGCCGCGGCAGAGGCAGGTTTTTCCTGTCCTCGGGGAGGCGTTTCCTCTCCTTCGGGGTTCCGCAAAGAGATTTACTTAAATCTGGAGCCAGCGGGTGGCGGCTGCCCCTAGACGCCCGCCCGGGCGCAGGTGGCGCAGCTGCCGGGCCGGGAGTGTAACATTCCGCCCGTGGCGGCACCTGCGCCCGCCGGTCAATCAAGCCCTCGCTGTTGCGCGCTCCGCCCCCCCGCCGGCGGTTGCTCTTGAACCCTGCTAATTAAGGTTAATTTTTTAAAATTAGTCTCCGTTTCTTCGTCCGCGAGTCACCGGTCCGCGGGGGGAAGGAATAGGAGACAGGAAAAGGGTGGCGTTTTCCGGCTGTGAAGTCCCCGCCAGCGCCATTGACCTGGGGAGTGGTCTGGGACCCGGAGGAGGGATCAGACTTGGCCTCAGCCTTGGGTCTCTCAGGTTGTATGGAAATCCTGGCATAAAACGGGGCCCCTCCAGGGGACACTGGCTTCCCTGGGAAATCTGGTCGCTTGGGAGTCATCTTGGCAATGCCTCCCTCCGGTCTGTGGGAAGCCCCGAATTGCTCATTAAGTCACCTTTGTCACATAGGCCATGACCACTGTGATGATGTGGCTGCGAAGGAAAAGGTCCGGGAGTGTTGTGGGAAGAATACTTGAGCAGACTGGGAATAGCCTGGAGAAAAGAATAGTTGTCAGGTCACGTGGTCCTGAGGTTGGAAGTTAGACATAAAATTCTCTAGGGGTGATGTTACAAAGTGGACCCGCAGTGTGTGCAGATAAGAGACCCATCCTTAATGTTTGTCTTTCCTGACAGCTGCGCCAGCTTCCCTTGGCAGATACCTAATTCTACCCCACATTCCTGAGGATTTCACTTGGGGGTCATATTTCAAAATATATGCTCTCTTTGGCATATATAATGTATATATGTTATATAGGAATTTATTGAAAAACTAAATATTACCGCCTTACTTGGATAAAGGGTTTTTAAAATAAATATTTATACCTTGCTCTCATTACACTTGGTATTTTTATGAGTACGAATCGTATGTGCATATTTTTATAAAATATCGCATGAAAAACTTATGCACACATAAAGACATTCCTTCCACATCTGTCTTGTGCTTTTTTATTTACTCTATTGTTGGCTGCCATTAAAAGCAGTTTATTTCCACAGGGCTACATAAATAACTTGTACAACATGTGCAAATACAGAGCAGCAGGTTGATTGAGGGATTGCCTTTATTCTAAAACCCCAATTTCACTTTTCTACACTCTTCTTTGTCTTCTAGAAGCTTTCTCTTTTACCATACATTTTTGTGAAATGAAGACATCATGGACTGTTACCATGGTGTTGTATGCTAAGCTGCTGCCTGTGTCACAGGCATCCCATATGGGTGCTGGTTCAAGACCCATTTGTTCCGCTTCTGATCCAAGTCCCAGCTTGTGGCCTGGGAAAGCAGCAGAGGATGGCTCAAGTCCTTGGGCCCCTGCCTTGGAGAACAGGATGAAGCTCCTGGCTTGGGGTTAGATCAGCTCTGGCTGTCACGGCCATTTAGGAAGTGAACACTCTCAAACGTGGGGACAACTCAGGAATGACTCTGGGTGAGCAGAACCTCCTGGAAAGCCGGTGTCCCCTGGAAGGGCCCTGTTTTGTGCCAGAATTTCCATACAATCTGACAGTCCCAAGACTGGGCCTAAATACCACTTCCACACCTTTCAGTGCCTACTGATGGTGCTTTGGTTTCTCCTGGCTATTTTAATGTCTACATGATTTATTCGTACTGCCCATCTCCAGTGAGAAAAACATGACCTTCTATGGTAAATTATCCTTTCAAATGAGTATACTTCCTGCACTAACCACCATGACTTTTAGGTTTGATCTACTTACATTTCAGTGTTAAGGATTCTAATGCTGGAAGGAAAGGCTTTGCTCTGAGTGTGGGGGTAGATTGAGTTTCGGGGTTTTGAGATTCTATTTGTAATTTTGGAAAGGTTTAGTCTTGACAAACTGTTAACTTGGCAGACTGATTGTAAATAACAGCATGGAACAGCTGTTTAGGCCAACAGTGTACTATTGCTTTCTATTAGAGAACAATCAGGTAATATTGGCAATGGTCTTGTTGTCCAGAAACTTGCAGTCTGCTTATAGCACAGAGAACAACATAGTAGGGTGTGCAGGAAAAGCAGACCAACCTCTAGATACCAAGTGTGGTCCGGGGAGGAGCAGCACCAGGCTTTAACCCTGAGCTATGGAACTGGAATTTCTTTTTAATAAAACATCAATGATGTGTATGTATAGTTTGAGGAGCACTAAGAGCAGAGACTCTCTGCCATTTTAAGTGTCACAAACTCATTTTAAAAGTAATTTTTTGGGCCCAGTGCAATCGCCAGGGATTCCATATGGGCACCAGTTCTAATCCGGGTGGCTCAGCTTCCCATCCAGCTCCCTGCTTGTGGCCTTGGAAAGCAGTTGAGCCTATGGAACTATAGCATGAATAATAATAATAATGATAATAATAATAAATGTGACTATGCTTTGAAAGCACTAATTCCATTTTGAGCTTTTCCTTTTAACACAAGTTCTCTCTGAACCGTGGCTGCCTGATAGCCGGCCTGCGCTGACAACTGTGAGTTGATAGGCAAATGAAGTAATTGGGGTGCCACACTTTTCCCTCCGAGGTTGACATCTGGAAGACAAGATAATATAGCTTTTCAGTTGGTAAATACCAGTCCCTTCAAACTGGCATTTGCAATGCATCTCGCTGTGACTCTGTAAATACTCAGATGAGGCATCAGTGAAAAGCCACTGACCACCAGAGGCCACCTTCCAGGGAAAGTCCTTTACTTCACTGCCAGCAGCTCGGAGGCAGTCTGTAGACATCTGACTGTGACCTGAAGGATCCAAATTTTGTCTGCATGGATGTGTGGCATTTAGCTTGTACAAATTTTGTTTCTGTTACCTGCCCCCCCACCCCCCTTTGCCTATGCTTTTATGTGTTCCATTTTCTTTCTCTGCCTCTATGTGCATTGCAATAAGCTAATGAGCCATCTATCTTGCTGGGCTTATCATTTGATGAGAGGGTAAAAGAAACTTCCCCGTATGAAAAATTGAAGTTCATATTGTCACAGATATAGGGGAACCTGGCCACCCTGGCCGGTGAGTCTAGTGTGCCACTCTTCCCCTCTTCTCTCTTAATCTGTTGGGCCTCCCGGAGGGCTTGCCTGGCCTATCCTATCTGCCTGGGGGCACTTCCTCCCCAAATCATCAAAAGATTCTCTTCGCCTCCTACCCCCATTCATTAAGGTCCTTATGTCAATGACATTATCTGGGAGAGGCCCTTTGAGGAATAGCAGTCCCACCCACATTCCCTTTCCCTGAATAAAGAAGGAAGCCTAATTTCTTCATTACCTGGCATTAGATCTATTTACTTACAGACCTCAGTATGACTTATTCCCTTTGACATCTGAACTTCATTTGCTGTCCTATCTCCTGTACATTAAAAAAAAAAAATAGCACATAGTGGGTACTTAGTTAAATATTTATTGAATAAATGATCTCAAACTACAACCAGTACTGACTGTAAGAGGCTTGTTTACAAATGCCAAAGCTACAGATAGTATATTAAGCATTCCTGGAACATAAGACACATATGTTGGGGCAGGGTTGCCTGTCACTTCTCTGTAGTAGAACTGAACAAGAAACACTAAACACATGGAACACTTTAAGGTCAAAAATTCAAACATATTAAAGTAAAATGTCCTTCTCTTCCATGTATAATGCATAACTCTTCTGGCAAAGCTGAACCATGTTCGTGTGTATGCAGCTGGGATTTCCCTCCAAAATGCTACATTCAGACCGAGTCTCCGATGTATGTTCTTGATTATCCTGCTCAGTTAGAATTAAGTAAAAATGTGAGAGAAGCTGGAAGCTTAGAGCATTCTGAGAAGCTCCTTACAACCTGAGTATTCTCCTCCTTGCTACCGGACTAACATTTTACCAGCCCTGGAAACCTAAGCCAATCCGTGCTAAAGAATTTGATTGACTAATCGTCAAAGGCCAAGGCACTTGCTAACCAGTGATTTCCTTATGAATAAAGAAATCCAGGTCACATCTTGGTAAGAAGATTTTAGTTTCCTCTAATCAAATGCAGCAGGAAGTGGTATCTGAGAGAGACGACGTTAGCATGCAGACTGCAGGCCTCACACCTTGTTCTGCACATGTTAAACAGTTACTCACTTTTAACCACCAAAACATAGGACAGTTTTGGTATTCGTATTAGCTCTTGAACTCAGGCCAGCACCGATTTAATTTGTAG